CATTTGCAAAGTAAAAATTGAAATCTGAATTGGGGGCTTTAAAAGGCAGTTGTCCAATAGAACACTTATGCTTGTACTGAATTTTGAAAATACCAACAGTCCCACTGAAGTCAAGTGATAAGTTGGACGTGCCCTAGTTTATGGTCACAAATACCGTGATTACCGTGTTATACATCTGAATTCTAAAGGTTGCACCTTCCAAATCCAGGATTCTCTGGCCTGGCAACATCCGTGGTCCAGCATAACCACAAATGTTCCTGGATGAGAAAAATCTCAGAGCAGGAGGGCCAGCAGCTGAGACCCTGGTGCAGCCCCGTGAGTCTGGAACAAGTTAAAAATCACTTAGGAAAGTTAGATGTCAGCAAGTCACCAGGTCCTGATGAAATGCATCCCAGGATACTCAAGGAGCTGATAGAGGAGGTATCTGAGCCTTTAGCTATGATCTTTGAAAAATCATGGCAGACAGGGGAGATTCCAGAAGACTGGAAAAGGGCAAATATTGTGCCCATCTATAAAAAGGGGAATAAGAACAACCCAGGAAATTATAGACCGGTCAGTTTAACGTCTGTCCCAGGGAAGATAATGGAGCAGGTAATTAAGGAAATCATATGCAAACACTTGGAAGGTAATAAAGTGATAGGGAATAGCCAGCATGGGTTTGTGAAGAACAAGTCATGCCAAACTAATCTGATAGCTTTCTTTGATAGGATAACGAGCCTTGTGGATAAGGGAGAAGCGGTGGATGTCATATACCTAGACTTTAGTAAGGCATTTGATACGGTCTCGCATGATATTCTTATTGATAAACTAGGCAAATATAACTTAGATAGGGCCACGATAAGGTGGGTGCATAATTGGCTGGATAACCGTAGTCAGAGAGTTGTTGTTAACGGTTCTAAATCCTGCTGGAAAGGGATAACAAGTGGAGTTCCTCAAGGGTCTGTTTTGGGACCCGTACTGTTCAATATCTTCATCAATGATGTAGATATTGGGATAGAGAGTACTCTTATTAAGTTTGCAGATGATACCAAACTGGGTGGGGTTGCGACTTCTTTGGAGGATAGGGACATAATTCAAAATGACCTTAGCAAGTTAGAGAAATGGTCAGAGGTAAACAGGATGAGGTTTAATAAGGAGAAATGCAAAGTGCTCCACTTAGGAAGGAACAATCAGTTCCATACATACAAGATGGGAAGCGACTGTCTAGGAAGGAGCATGGCGGAAAGGGATCTAGGGGTCATAGTGGACCACAAGTTGAATATGAGTCAACAGTGTGATGCTGTTGCAAAAAAAGCAAATATGATTTTAGGTTGTATCAACAGGTGTGTTGTAAGCAAAACTCGTGAAGTCATTCTGCCGCTCTATTCTGCACTAGTTAGGCCTCAGCTGGAGTACTGTGTCCAGTTCTGGGCGCCACATTTCAAGAAAGATGTGGAGAAATTGGAAAGGGTACAGAGAAGAGTGACAAGAATGATTAAAGGTCTAGAGAAGCCTATGAAGCCAGGCTTCATGAACTGGGCTTGTTTAGTTTGGAAAAAAGAAGATTAAGGGGGGACATGATAGTGGTTTTCAAATATCTAAAAGGGTGTCACAAGGAGGAAGGTGAAAATTTGTTCCTCTTGGTTTCTGAGGACAGGACATGGAGTAATGGGCTTAAAGTGCAGCAGGGGAGGTTTAGATTGGACATTAGGAAAAAATTCCTAACTGTCAGGGTGGTCAAATATTGGAATAAATTGCCAAGGGAGGTGGTGGAATCTCCCTCTCTGGAGATATTTAAGAACAGGTTAGATAGACATCTGTCAGGGATGGTGTAGACGGAGCTTGGTCCTGCCTTGAGGGCGGGGGGCTGGACTCGATGACCTCTCGAGGTCCCTTCCAGTCCTATTATTCTATGAAGCAGCAGGCAGCAGGAAGGGGCAGCAGACTGAGGGGCTTGTGTAAGGGGACCTCCTGTTGTCCAGCAAAGTCCCTCATCTTGGTCCAGTCAGGTTCCGAGGGTGTCACACCAGGAAGGTCAAACCTATACTAAGAGTCTGAAATGAGGTGATAAGATGAAAGGTAATACTTTACAAGCCATTTTACAAGTGTGAGAAAGATATCTGTTGTGTAGTATCCATCTTGCCGTTTAAGCAGTGAAAACCTGAAGTACAGGAACTAACCCTCCTCCTACTGCATTCAGTGTTGAACGTAATACATTTGTTTGCATAAACAACAGAGTCTAGGTTATGTCATTCAGCTGTCTTAGTAATTTGGTTAATATTATAAATCACAAATAGGTTTTTCTCTACATTGAGCATAGCACCACTGAAGTTCCAAAAGGAACAGACACTGGTGGAAGCTGTAATAGAGCAGAGAGGGGAATGTGTTTGCCACCCTGTTAGATGACACTATGATAAAACATGAACAATTGATAAGATTACAGGATAGTAGAAACACCGATAAATGATTTCCACTAGTATTCCATCTAGTGCAGCTCCATCAGTGCTAGCAAAAATACTAATTAATGGCATGGTTGGAAAGATGCTCAAAATTCTGTGTAGACACAGACAGAAAGATGTACATTGGCAAAGAGTAGAATTCAGTTTCACAGATATTAGTTTCACAGCTAGCAAATAACCATCCTCCTACCCTTGACTTTCATCAGCATTTTCTCCACCTTTACGTGCAGGGTGTTTCTCATCTTCAGAAGAACAGTTTCTTGTGGAAGTGACACTGGACCTTCCTTCAACATAATAAAAAGAAGCATTAGAACTTGAGGCTAAACTCCAGGTCTCATATCATTTGCTAGTGGTGCAACTGTGTTGACCCAGTTCTGAAGAAAAATTGTCAGTACCGTATTTGTCACAAGCTTCTCAAACACTTGGTTTAAAGCAGCAATCTAGTTTAAGTTACAGTAAGAGGCAGACAGTCAAATCCTTTTAGACACAGAATTAGGTGCTACAGCAGACACAGAAGTCACGGGTAATTGACCTTTAACTGGGATAAGCTTTCCTCACTACTGCACAGGATACAGTAGGGTGTAGAGCCAAAGCCCTATAAAATCAGTAAGAGTCTTTCCATTGAGTTCAGTGGCTTTGGATCAGACCCTGAGAGCCCCAATATGTAGCCTTCCAGATGAAAGTTCTTATAGTTATATAGTAACCCATCAAATATAAAAAGCATCTTAAACTTCTTGTAAAATTGTTGCTTTGAATGTAGAGAAGTCATCATCTTAAATAGTTAATAAGAAAACCAGCCAAAGAAAGCTTTGTCTCTTAAAATTGCTCTTACTGGGTACACTTAGAAGTCAAACCTTCACATTAATACTGCTTCATACATTGGCTCTTTTGACAAAAATTAGCAGAGATGCTCTAATTTCCATGCACTGGCTGAATGAATAGAATACTTTAAAATATTTCTTTTCCTTGGTTCTTGAGGAGATTCCTGTGGATTGTGAATGGCTTAAACTCTCCCACAAGACCCCTCCCCTATGCAGAAAATCCTAAAAGGTGCTATTCTGTCACCCCTCGTGTTCAACATGAGGCCAGTAGGGGAGACTGAAGTACCAAGAACAAGCAGCTGACACGAAGCTATGCTTCTCATTCAAGATGAATCTTGTAGATCCTCTGAAGCTCCTGAGCACAGCAGACATTTGGATGAAAGGTATTGGTATAGGCTCAATCCCAATAAAATGCAGAGGATTGGTGTTTACAAGGGAAAGGGCTATAAAGAATTGGTAGAATTGGTGACCCCATCATCAATTGTACACATCTGTCTTTCAATTGTGATGAGGATGCACAAGGTCATAGCTTTTCTGGATCAATCTCTGCTCCAAGATTCCCAAAAAGCAACTGTATCCAGAAATAACTTTTCCCTACTACTGCCAGTGCCGTGAACTAGGTATTTTTGTGCCCGGGGCAAAATATTAATTATGTGCCCCCTCTCCTTAGGTTTGCACATGTTGTGCACTTTACTTATACTGCTTATTATTTTTACTTATTGCCTCTTTGCACCCAATTATGATGTGCCCAGGGTGAGTACTCGCTTGCCTCACCCTTGTTGCAGCCCTGACTACTGCTCAAGAGTAGGCCCTCTTATCCCATCCAAAGAGAACCTAGCTAAGGTAATGCATACCTTTATCACTTTAGGGCTAAATTATTACAACTCCCTGAAACTGTATTGGATGCTGAAGGCCACCAGGAAACTAAGTGGTTCAGAATACAACATGACATTTAGGTCAGCCAATATACTTCAGAAGCAGCAGAGTCAATACTCAGTGCAAAATTCTAATCCATCATTAAAACAGTAACTGGAATAGCAACCAAGTCACTCAAACCATCTTTCTACACAATTTGCCATGACAACTAAGATTGGTGGGGTCTCTATCTGACATTCCCCAGGGTAGTCTTATGAAGGGCAGTGGCAGAGCCTTCAGAGTGGATGTTCCAAGGCTGTGAAATTCCTTCCCATAGGACTGAGGTGAGGTCTTGGATTTTGCTGAGCAATTCAAGACCCTCTTTTCACAGGCCTTATCTAAATGAAGTATACTGTCCTGTACCTAACTGAGGTTCCTGGGGAAAATTAGTTGTACAATGACTGGAATTTGTCCGTCGTCCCAAAGTTACCATTGCTGCTTTGGTTTAAAAAAAAAAAAAAAAAGTGTGCCAGGGAGCCTACAATTGGTCAAGACTGCTATGTATTAGGGATGTTAAATGTAGTTTAATCTACTAATCGACTAGTCGATGGCTTTTCCATTGACTAGTTGATAAGCAGGGAGCTGCAGTAGGGTTAGGCTGCAGTGGGGATAAGCAGGGTCTCGCGTTGGGTTCCTCCTGCTGACACAGTGGGGAGATCCTGCACTAGCCAGGAATCAGCTGTCTCGGCTTGCACTTGGTCCCTCCTGCTGCACATTAGCCTATTAAATGTATTAAAAGCCTGTCGACTCTTAATACATTTAAAAAGCAGAGGTGTATCTGGAACTAGGCATGAGCCAGGAATCAGGTAGTTCCTGGCTCACGCTTGGTCCCCACTATCCCTCTGCCTCCTGTGGAAATGGTGTTGGGGGGGAACTGGCTTTTAAACCGGCTCCCCCCAGCACCAGCTCCTGCTCTCCATCTTAATACATTTAAAAAGCAGAGGTGTATCTGGAACTAGGCATGAGCCAGGAATCAGGTAGTTCCTGGCTCACGCTTGGTCCCCACTATCCCTCTGCCTCCTGTGGAAATGGTGTTGGGGGGGAACTGGCTTTTAAACCGGCTCCCCCCAGCACCAGCTCCTGCTCTCCATCTTGCTGCCTCTAATAGAGTCAGCAAGTGAGGGAAGTAACTAGGTGACTAGTTCCTCAACTATTCAATAAGCTTTTGCTTATCGCAGTGTTTCTTAAATGTTTTAAGACTGGGGAACACCAAAAAAAGTTTGCCTGTCCCTTTAAGGGCAGCCATTTTGAACTCTGTTGTTCTCCGCGGCACACCTCCCACTGCCTTGCGGCACACTGGCTTATCGGATAGTCAACTAGTCACTTGCATGGTAGGGATGTACCATCAGAAATCTCATCATTAAAGTGTTTCATGCCAAGTTTCTTAAATGTTTTAAGACTGGGGAACACCAAAAAAAGTTTGCCTGTCCCTTTAAGGGCAGCCATTTTGAACTCTGTTGTTCTCCGCGGCACACCTCCCACTGCCTTGCGGCACACTGGCTTATCGGATAGTCAACTAGTCACTTGCATGGTAGGGATGTACCATCAGAAATCTCATCATTAAAGTGTTTCATGCCAACCAGGTTAAC